CTTCTTTGGTATATGGAAAGAAAAAATATATTCTTTATTGAAGACGTTTCCTTAGATTGATGAGGACACTGGATCTTTGTTGTCTGCAGCACACCTTTCCTTATAAAGTTCATACATCTTTTTATTATTCAATTCTGGTCCTAAATAGTGCCTGTTTGTATCTTTTCTTGTGTAGTGGGCATCCATCTTGAAAATGACTCAATGAGTTGCCTCACTTTCGTCAAGCGATCACTGGCAGTTTTATTGTGTGGCTTATGTCTACCGCGACGTTCAGTGGATCCAAAGGTTCCCTGGCTCTTGTGCTGTAAGGCATGGCTGATGTATGACTCCCCAATGTCAAGAGTCTTCATGAAAAAATTCTTGCAAACAAGATGTCTAGTTCCTTCCCAGTGTAGATTAAATGCCCGATAGACTTGTCGTTTCTTTTTCACCTTTTTTTCACTGTCATCCAGGTATGTACGGGATTTCTTTTCATCAGTGTTCGAACAAACAAAATAATTTGGCCTTTCATATGATGTCAAGCTTCTAAATGATTTAAATATACCGTGTCGAGCTTCTTCGGGGATCTTCTGGGAGCACTTATATCTACATTTTGAGCAGTCGACTGCTTTAACCGATTTTTCTTTCATGGTCTTCCCTTGCTGGTTTACATATTCCATTCCACCTAATCTCAACTGTTCCTTTTATTTTTTAACCATGTCTCGGGCGTCGCACCTTTCTAGGAGGTGTATGGAAGGCTGCCGACTTTCTTGGAGTTGCAGATCGAGATGGGTTCTGTTTGTTTGGGGTTGATGTTGTATTACCTGATGACACTGCGTCATCACCATGATGTGAAGATACTGGAACTGGACTTGAAGTATTTGAACTGATCACAGGACCTTGTGGCATTACATGGTTGCGTTCATTTACAGCAGGACAAGAAACATCAGAGATCCTGATGGATTGGATGCAACTTGCAACTGATGTGGACGTTCCAGGACAGGTAGCTCTAGAAGCACCTGCTTCTGTTGTTTCATGTACTTGAGTACTGAGAAGATTTTGTGATGTTATTTTCTATCATTGTGTTTCACAAATGGTTGGCCAGTGGTGTGCATGCATCATAATGATCTTCAATCCCTTTTATGGGTGTAAATGCGAGGATTATTCTTCTCTCAGTGCATTGTTGACGAATTGTTGGTTGGACATCAATTACAGGAGTTGATGCCTTGCTGGAGAAAATACGGACACCACGACCTGACCAGTTAGCAAGTGCTAATGGCAGGAAATCAGCAACCTTATTGGTGAAATATCGATTCATGCGAAGATGTTCCACTTCCAGTGAATAACTTTGCCATGTTTCTGGGTTGTTTTCCTCCAAATCAGAATAAGTGATGATATTATCATCAAGATGATCACACAGTTGTTTCCTCTTCACATTCACTCACATTAAGTTGAAGTGCAGAAGCCTTAAAAAAGCAATTTCCATCAGCCTGTACCTTCAGTAACTTGTATCCATTACAATGCAGAAGTTGTTCTAATCTCTCCGTGTGAAACTTCTTCATTTTAGATTCATACATGTAGTTGGTATGACTTTCATGTAATGTCTTCAGAACAACAGTGTCCTCCAATACCCCACTAAGTCTTGACCTTTCATGAAATTTGCTATGAACAATATTCTTCTGATTTGGTATTGGCAATTCTGTTTCCGATTCAGTGGTGTCGGACGAGCATAAATCTTCTTCATTGGAAAGGTACTCTTCTGATGATGTTTCGATGCTACTTTCATCATGTGTATGTCTATATTTCCCCAAATAAATTAAAGGTTCGTCATCAGAGCTGTCAAATTCATTTTCATTTCCTCCCTTACTGGTATTGGAAGTGGCTCTATGTAGTCTTGAGGGGCTTTCATATGCGTTGCCGACAAAGGATCTGGGTTGTCAGGAGTTTGTACCTGATTAGCATCCATGTTGGTTGCCGTCAATGGATCTGCGCTGTCAGTGGTTGGTAGCTGATCAGTTTCCATGTTGGTTGCCGTCAATGGAACTGGGTTGTCAGTGGTTGGTAGCTGATAAGCATCCATGTTGGTTGCCGTCAATGGATCTGCGCTGTCAGTGGTTGGTAGCTGATCACTTTCCATGTTTGTTGCCGTCAATGGATCTTCGTTGTCAGTTGTTGGTAGCTGATTAGCTTCCATGCTGGTTGCCGTTAATGGATCTGGGTTGTCAGTGGTTCGTAGCTGATTAGCATCCATGTTGGTTGCCGCCAATGGACCTATGCTGTCAATTGTTGGTAGCTGATCGGCTTCCATGTTGGTTGCCGCCAATGGACCTAGGTTGTCAGTGGTTGGTTGCGGATTTGGTTCCATGCTCGTTGCCGTCAATGGATCTGTGTTGTCAGTGGTTGGTAGCTGACTAGCATCCACGTTGGTTGCCGTCAATGGATCTGCGTTGTCACTGGTTGGAAGCTGATTAGCATCCACGCTGGTTGCTGAGAAGGATCTGGGTTGTGAATGGTTGGTAGCTGATTAACATCCAGGCTCGTTGCCGTCAATGGATCTGGGTTGTCAGTGGTTGGTAGCTGATTAACATCCATGCTGGTTGCTGACAAAGGATCTGGGTTGTCAGTGGTTGGAAGCTGATTAGCATCCATGATCGTTGCCATCAATCGATCTGGGTTGTCTGTGGTTAGTAGCGGATTTGGTTCCATGTTGGTTGCCGTCAATGGATCTGCATTGTCAGTGGTTGGTAGCGGATTTGGTTCCATGTTTGTGGGTGGTTGTGGAACATTATGGTGTAATATCTGATTGTTCTCGATAATATTGCAAGCTTCCAAAATTTCTTGATCTTCGAAGTCAGAATCAAACTCACTCATTTTCCAATGCCTATAGAAAGAAAACAAAAAAACAAAAGAAAACAATACATAGCACTGGTCTTAAAATATTTGTGTATGTGACATTATTTCTCAATTTACAATCTAACTTCATGTATCATATATTTACTCTTATGTAAACTTTACTTGTGTTTATGAAAGATGTTTATGTTAAAAACACAAGTCTCACCCATGTCATTTACATACTATTTTATAGCAAAATTAACAAAAAATTCCCTGCGATTATCTGAAAACAACCAAGAACACACTAAAAGTTAACCAACACTGATTTGATAACGACTTAAACATAAAAATCCGTTATATAAATCATCAGACGTGTTGTTGCGTCGTAACTTTATAACAATATAAGAGATCAATTTTCAAAAATTAGTAAAATAACAGATAATTTAATTCAATTTCCAGTTTTACTTACCTTAAACGTATTTATGTTGATAAAAATAATTTGGACTATGATATTTCCTTTGTAAGACGTTTGTGTAGTGGGGTTTATCTTCGACGCCAGGACCAAGTAATGACCATTAGTATAAGCTGACTGGAATTTAGCCCGGGGATCAGATATAAACATCCTGGGCCATAGAAGGCTAGCACCAGTTAACATCATCTGGTGCAGGGGAGCGCTTATCTCTAATCGTAAACACAAAAAGACAGCACATCTAAAATGCTTATCAGTTGTTACGGCTCTCCAATTAAAGGAGTCTGAAGCCTATATCAGAGTGCTAGAATGTGTTCATTCTCGATACGTTTTTCTGGCTTAATAGATTTGAGTGAAAACTTTAATGTTGTGTATACCAGCATGTAGTATTTTAGTATAGAACATCCTGGCGCAACATGAGAACAAAGTTAGGTGATAAGTTGTTTATGTCTTGTTGAATATCTTTTAAAATATACAATGTAGTACATAGATATTTTGGCGTAGGATTATATATGGTCATACAATGTTTTGAAAGTCATAAAGTCAATTTTAATATTTTACAAGGTAATGTGTTCTGGCACTAACCCCTCGATGTATAGAAAATAGTTGACAAGAGAAGAATTGTAACATTACATATTTATTTAAAATAGTTTACACGAGAAGAATTGTAACATTACATATATTTATATAAAATAGTTGACAAGAGAGAAGACTTGTAACATTACGTTTTTATATAAAATAGTTGACAAGACAATAATTGTACCATTACATATTTATATAAAATAGCAATCATAACATCCCACATATTTAATATATTTTATTTGTTTGTTGTTTAACACCGAACACCGCAATTTTCCAGCCATATGACGACAGTCTAATCTAGTCTGGACCAGACAATCCAATGAATGATATCTTTGCAATTGAGTTATACTATGACATACATCAACCGAATCAGAGAGCCTGACCACCAGATCCCGATAGTTGCCTCTTACGACAAGCATGGTTTGCTGAAGAGCAACTATAAACCGGAACTTCACGGGGGTATTTGCTATGTGATGTCGCATCAAACTAATGTATAACTGCGTTGCATCCGTAGCTTGAGAAACTGTGACACCCCACAGTTTAGACATGTGATATAACATCACACTAATGCATTTGTTATGTCCATGTATGGGAGAGAAACCATGACACCCCACATTTAGACATGTGATATAACATCACACTAATGCATTTGTTATGTCCATGTATGGGAGAGAAAACTCAAACTAAGTAACGGATCAGTCGATTCTTCCATATCACTATAGTTAATCTATCGTTGCAAAACAAAATAAATACTTATGTATCAGGTGGTCCTTATCTTCTTTTAAGTAGTAAACTTCAATTTGTTTATAGTGAATACTACATTGATAGATCAGCTGCTAATTTGTACGTTTTGCCGAATACTCAAGCGGTACTCTGTCAAACTCGGATGTCATTTATACCTCAATGGTGACAGATCGCATCAAGTAAGTGGTATTCGGTATCTAAAATGTGCAATGTTAAGGTCTATCTGATCCAAGTTTCCTGTCTCGTACATCTACATCTTTCAGCACACACCTTGTGTCATGTTATACTATTTAATTGTACTTTTCTGTGTATATGTGTATTAACTTCAGACACATCTTTCGGGAATGTGTATGTATTGTATTGCAAACCACCAATCATGTTAGTACAGAACAGATAATGAAGTCAGCAATCTTCACTTCGAAGGTTTCTCGCTGGAAGCCTGTCGGCGGTACGGATTTGACCTGGACAACGGACACAGCATTGGTTTCAAGAATATGCAGATTTAAAACACTGGTATTCGTTTACATTTACCATGTTTAGAAATCATCATTCGATACAAGAATTAAATCTAAGCATCATCACATATGCAGTCACATATGTGCAATGTATTTGTTTGTGTTTGTGTGCTTGTTATTTAACGCTCAGACAGTCCAGTGCTTGACATCATGAGCATCGATTAACGCAACTGAGATACGCCAGTCGTCAACCAGATCAGCGGGCCTGACCACCCGATCCCAGAAGGTTTGGCGTCTGACCTCAGATGAGAAGGTTAAACACATATTGACTTTGATAATAATTCAAACCTTGAATTGTAAGTAAAACCTAACACTAAAAAATCATGACATATCTTTAGTAGGACGTGTGTTTCAGGTGGTTATGGAATCCACTGCTCTGGTGACTGTCGGTCTGGGACGGTCTCTATGTCTGAGATACATCACACCTGTGGAGGAATCGCAATCGCAGGTAAGGCAGGTGGCAGCCGGACTGTGGAAAGCAATGGTGAAACAAACTGAAGGAGCTATTATATGTTTAGAGTCCGTAGGTTAATATCCATGGTCTCTGAAATACCTTTTTGGTGCTACGAGAAAAAGTCTTGAGGCCAGGAGATAATAACATGGATATATTTTCTCAAAGATAAGATGACTCAAGTTTCCGATGAGATACAGCTTCAAAACGATCCTAGCTGAGATTAATCCTAACAAATTATGTTAAAAAAAATATATTTTAAGTTTATGATAGGATACAGTTTTAAAATGATCTTAGTTAAGATGTATCTGTATAACTAAGATTAGTTTAGAAACTCTCTTACTTAAGATTAATCTCAACAAACGTTGATATGTTAAGTTACGATAATATTTTCTCTTAAATGTATTTTTTCTATCTACATAATCTTCATGATACATTATTATTGTTGTTTAACGAACCCTAAGATAAACAAGTACATATGGCATTACGGCATAGGGCATTAATCATGTGATTAATACTCTAACAACAGCGAGGTATTAATTGTGTAGTTCTTGTGGCTCTTTCTGTTTTAACAAACAGGTGGTGACCGGAAAACACTGGCACCTTCTGGTAACCTGATAGAAGACAACCACATCTGGCAGTATGCACGTGTAGGGGCCGTGGGTTACAACGCCATCAGTCCTGGAGGGGTGGGGATATCCATGCGCTACAACCACATCCATGACTGGCAGTACACGGGCATCAGATGGATGGTAAAGCAAATACTGGCTTAGAGATAATATCAGGGCAACGCATGTTTCATTTCTGTTACGAGAAATATCAAAAGAGAATTACATCAGAATATTTCTGGGTATGTGTCAAATATTAAATATTGCCAATTCATTTGTTGGAGTATAAATGACGTTGCAAATAAAATAATTAACCTTGGCATATTAAGCACAAACATGAAGATCCGTGTAAGAATTTGTCTTCAGCAACCCATGCTTGTCATAAATGGTTGTTGCGTGTCATCCTATACCAATTGTGTAGATTGATGCTCATGATGTCAATCACTTGATTGTCTGGTCCAGACATGATTACTTAGAGACTAACGTCATATATATGGAATATTGCTGAGTGTGTCATTAAACAACGACCGGACAAAACAAATCTCAAACGACTTATTTTCATTGAGCTACGACCAAGACAGGGCTTCTATGTGTGCAGGGTATATAATGCCCAGGATTACTGAACGGGTCGATATGATCCATTGAATCATTAATATGTCAACTGATGAGAAAGCTATTTCTGCTGTCTCCAGGGCAAGGACCACGTGATGGAATACAACCGCTTGCATCACCTGTGTGCCAACTCCAGTGACTGCGGAGCTCTACACGCCGGGCGAGACTGCACCATTCTATTCGTAATAACCTTATTAAACATTAGGTATTGAAAAGGACAAAAAATAAAAATACGTACAGAAAATAAAAGAAAGCATGTTTGATTGTGTAACATAACACAGAGTCGAATTGGGCACTCAGAATGGTTGGCTTCAATATTTGACAAGGTAACATGTTGAACTAGGCTCTCAGAATGACTGGGACTTAAGGTTGACAAGGTAACGTATTGGTCTAGGCACTCAGAATGACTGTATTCAAGGTCGACAACGTAACATGATGGACTAGGCACTCAGAATGACTGTACTCAAGGTCGACAAGGTAACATGATGGACTAGGCTCTCAGAATGACTGTATTCAAGGTCGACAAGGTAACATGATGGACTAGGCACTCAGAATGACTGTACTCAAGGTTGACAAGGTACCATGCTGAACTAGGCACTCAGAATGACTGTACTCAAGGTTGACAAGGTAACATGTTGGACTAGGCTGAAATTTTCACTAGGGTGTTTTAGCTAGATTATGTTTAGTTGACAACTTGCACACTAAATCTTTTCCATGACTCTCGATACTGTCGAGGCAGTGGCGGCTTTTTGGAGATGATTGAAAGCAGCATTGGGGATGTTGATCCAAATGTCAACCAAAGATTGGCCAAACTGAGCTAGCGTTACCGGCTGGTTCTGGTCTTGTCGTTGGCGTCGATCAAGCTCATCCCAGACAGGTTCTATGAGAGTGTCATGCAACCAACAAACCCGCAAACATCAAAATTGTTTATCAAATTGACCTTAACGTCAAGGAGATATCTTCGTGAATAAGTATTGAAAGATGCATTATTTAATTGCAGATTTAATATATTTTTATTGCACTTTATATGAAGCACAGTTTCTTTACCGTAGGTTGATGATTTTTACACTTACGCTGCACATATCATTAACGTGTTTGTCTGATTCCACTTATCAGTGAATTATATTATGAAATTATAGCTAAGGGTAAACATGATATTCAAATGTTCCCAAATTAATAGAAATGTGTATGCTTCTTTTTGCCGATAATGTAATTTTACTATCAGATTATGTTGTTGGACTACAAAAAGAAATTTAAGAATGTTACACCTAAGAGAGGCAATAATCAGTTGACTATGATAAAACAAATATTGTCAATTTAAGAAGAGGGTCAGGGGGCACTGAATGAAAGATGTTTTCTTCGATGGTAACTGTGTTTATGTTCTGAGTCATAATACATATCTTGGTGTAATGTTTACCCATACAATGAACTTCAAGAAAAGTGTCTTCTACTTAACATCACATGCAAAGAAGGCCTTAATCGCAGAGAGTAGGATCATTTACACCAAATATATATTTTTGAATTATCCAACCAATCTTGTTATATGGATCAGAAATATGGGGAATTTCAGCGATACGATTGTCTCGAAAAGTTACATCTTTTAGCCTTTACACTATGGCGAGTGTGGAAGACATCCTTTATACGTCAACTCAAATTAGATGCTTGAAATACTGGTTTCATATTCTCATTATGCTTTTACATTTCGATTATGTGGGCTAAGTAACATGGGTATCACATACTAGAAACCTTTTGTTTTCTCAAGGCTATGGCTTTGTATGATTAAACCACACATGCGATGATTCTGAACTCTTTTTGAAACAATTTCCTGAACAATACATTCATATGTTGTTGTTTTTTAGAAATGGCATACCACTTTTACATGACTTGTATATAACTTTTAAGGGTCTAATTTTCAACCAGAATTTTTTTATTTACATTAACATTTATTCAATTAAGGAATGGATTTATAGATCTAATGATAAATGAAGGAAGAAAAATGTCCACTGAAAAGTCGACGAGGTTATGTTATTCCCATTATGTCATTAAGCTATAGAAAATAAAATGCATGTTACTTTTTGTATGTCCTTATTATTGTGATCTAAGAAACAAGTTTATACCAGATCGCTACCTGTGAAATTATCCTGTACCTGCTTTTATTTCCCTTCTTTCATCAAAAGATGCTGCTGTCATATTAAAACTAGCTATATGTGTTGCAATGCAGTTTGCCTCAGAAACAACTTGTTAAACATTAGTATATATCCAAATATGTAAAACTACATATTTGTAACTTTTTATATATCGGCCAAAGGCCTTACATGCAAAAAATATCTTTGACTTTGATACGTTTATTATATCAACAGTACAAGACCGATCAAACGTAATATGTGTGTGGGTAATTAAATGTTTTCCCTCAAAACACATTCAAATAAAAATTACATCATGTACGCAAAGACAAATTATACACAACCCCAATATTCTGAACTTTGAATATTCTCAATGTTTAACAATTAATATAAGCTATGTTATTGAAATAAAGCAATAAATGGTAACAGTTTATGAAAAATGAATGAAATAAATTTTCAAAAAATAGCTGGATACTGTACATTTGATACTGCATTGACAATTGTTTACCTGTATTGTTTCACCTAGAAAACAAATATCTGATATAAAATAGTATATCAATTGCCCATTCGAGCAAACAAATCACAATTGCGATTCTTAAATATGATGTACTACATCTAAAAATAAACAAACATACCTTCTCACTGTAAGGTATTTGACTTCATATTTAAAAACATACATTGTTCAATTGATTTTTTGTTGAAAATGATATAAGATCAGAAAAGACATTCAAGGGTTGTTGTGATAAGCAAGAGCACATGTGAAAGAGTACATGTCTCTATTCATTGACGTACGTACATAATAATAATAATAATTATAATAATAATAATAATAATAACTGGTTATGCTGAGGTCGAAAATAACATGCCCATCATGATGCCCATGGCGTACCGCGTGTCAAAATTTATTATGGAACATGGAGACATGACTGAGTAATTGACAGAAGTGACATTGTCAGTGTTGTTGCCCTCTGGCATCAGTGTGGCATGTATCATGCCATAGAAACAGCTAAGAATATATTATGCACATGGTTCCGTAATGCAACCAGTTTTGATCAGAAACAACATGTATTTGGGAAGGCATCCTCGTTACAAGTTCACACCTGTGTGAATCTCTGTTAAAGTTGAATCCATAGCATCTGTGTTCAGAAAGACACGTGACTGCACATGTTGTAAGACTCGAGCCCGTGATGTCTGTGCTAGAATTTGGGCCAACGTTCATGTACCCCCTGATTGTTTTGATGTTGGTGGATTTAGTTGTAGATTTAGCTTCTGAAAAAAATGACAGCTCTGTGGATCAGGAATTTTCTTTTAAAGGATACGTCTTTTAAAAGACACTTGTTGCGCAGATGCTTCAAATATTTGTTTGTTTGTTTGTTTTGTTGTTTAACGCCGCACTCAGCAATAGTCAAGCTATATGAAGTAATATCCTTAATAATGAAATAATGTCCTTGTCTGGACCAGACAATCAAGTGACTGAGCATCAATCCACGCAATTTTGATACTATGACATGCATCAACCAAGTCAGCGAGCCTGACCACCCGATAGTTAGTCGCCTCTTGCGACAAGCATAGTCGCCTTTTATGGCCATCTTCACGGGTATCTAGATTTGCATTAATCATATCTGTTTTCAGAGGAAACTTTTTTTTGCACAGATGACTGCTGTAAACAATGTTATAAACCCCTCTATTGACACTGTTGACTGTATTTTAACTTTGTGCTGACTCACTCGTTACAAAATACATGTATGTGATGTGCGTGGAACGGTGTATCAACTGGTAATCAAGAAGTGAAGGGAGTATTATCCACTGGGATGTGGCAGGTATATTTTGGCACAATTACGTATTCACTCACCTGCAATACACCGCTCACCACGAACCTGAACTTCACAGATCGTCAGGTGAGCACTGAAGATAGGCAACCGTTGGATCTTTACGAATCTAGCCACTACTGGCTCATCACAGGGCAGAGTTTCCATGGCCCCTAGGGCTCCCCTCTTCTCTGTACAGATTATGGGGGCCATCCTGGGATAATGTCGGGGGTCTTTTCTGAACGCTACGATCGCCAAGTCTCTGAAACGATGAACTAAAACGCAAATGAATGATTTCAAAAGTACACAGGGAATTTTGGAAAATAGTGGTTGCAGTTTGCTAAGGGGTTTAATAGCGTCCAAATAAACAGACAACCTTACCCTATCTTTGTTCGCTTTAGTCACAACCTTCCTTTTTGTGTCAGTGCCTGGGCAGCTGTTTAAATATGCTACATTTGTAATGCATATATCAAATTAGACTTTAAAGAGTTTCAAAAGACAGAGGTAAATGTTTAATAGAAATTTGAAATTTTACACTGTCCATCGCTTCTTCGCTGTATGGTGACAGTCGTGATTTTGTACATGTCCAGGAAGTCCACCATCCACCACATCGGTGACACGTTGCTTGTGAAACAGCTACCATGAAGCCGACTACCATCAAGGTTACCGTCGACGGCATTAGACGACAAGGAAAACTTGTCGAAGTTGTCGCTGCTGTATGTTGGCATGTTCAGAGCAATATTCGTAATCTGTAAAACTGTGTGTAAAAATGTTATTTCGCCTATCATATTAGTTTTGGAAAACTGTAGACAGTGTGTGAAGATGACAAACCAAAGATCATAAGCAGGATGTATCTGAGATTCGAACCCACGAACAAATAACAACTTGGGCCCCCGTGCGCCACAAATCACAAGTGATTGCTGTTTTACAACGCTGTCGGCACTACTCATTACTTCAATGTCAGGCAATGGTTAGTGTTAGTCGTTACGATTATGATGTTGACCATTGGGAAACAAGATGTTGTAATTGTCAATATTCTTTAGAACAGAAGATGAATGCTTCTTTCTGTTGGTATACCCGCTTTAACAAGACAGCAGAGGATATATATTTTGGAGATAAACCTACTGTGTTTTGAAATTTGATGTAGTCCCACTGTAGAATAGATACCTCTTATTTTAATTTTGAACCAAGCGCTTTAGCTGTAGCCTGGATTATATATACATTATCTAATCTACTGATACATTATTTGTTTTGATGTTGACATCGTTTGATGCACATCTCAACTGTGATATTTACCTACGATATGTAAAAAGAAGTAACTTGTTCTCTTGGCGATATGGCTGCAATATTCCCGATGTGATGTTAACTTTTTACTCACTCACTCACTCACGCTTTGTAAGACACTTCATCCACATCTAGTCTACGAATAGCTTTGTCGTTTTCGTTTTTCCTGACTATGTGATTCAGTGATGTCAAGCAAAATTTGGTGTGGCACGATTTATTTTTAATTGCTCGAAGACAGGACCGAAAAAATAATGATTTTTAGACTGTTGAGTATTATAGTCTGGAGCCTTTGATTCGGCTGTAAAAATGGAACATTCACCTGGTATTCTTGAAAATATACATGTTGTTCCGGATCCATCGACAGTGGCGCTGGCAGTTTCTTTGCCATCTTTGGATCCACCTGTGAATATAGATATGTAAGTATTGTATGACGTTCTTGACTGATTATATTCATCTTGATACTATAAAGGTTTTGTTTTGATTTCTTCAGTTGGTCAACGTCTGGTCCACCCGTGTTTTTACTAACTTCCAAGGAGTAGAAGGCAGAAAGGAGATATATTGTCAAGTTCAATATTTGCACTATAATTACTTCTTATTCCAACAGGTGGAATAAGAGATAACTTCTTATTGTAAAGATCCTTAGAGAGGGGATTTTTGTTCAATTCTGTACATCACAATCCCAAACTTAATTCTTTCATCAATTGGCTGATATGTTACTAAACGTGGTGACTTGATACTGTAAGGGTGAGGCACCCAATATAAAAGGTACAATTCTTATTCCAACAGGCGGAATGATAGATTACACCCCTTTGCAAAGATCGTTCGAAAGGGGATTTAACACATAGGGGTAGACTCATTAGAATATATATTTTATGTTTAGCGGTTTAAGAGATGGCACGCCGTCCAAGAATTTGGCTTCCCTTACTGCTCTCATGGTAGTGCCGGCAAGGTATATTTCTTGGTCACCATGTTTGAATTTCCGAAATAAATTATCTTTTTATGTTGAAACATTATAATCGTTATGCTGTGTCCAATCAATGATTTTATTGAGACAAAGTTGCAACTGTCTCTCAATTGACTGTACATTTTTACATCGACATGACACACCAAAATCTACAAATAATGACCTATCAAAAGGGTCATTTATAGCTTGAGATAGATTCAATCTGGATAATAAACAACGTTACCAGTAATGTATTATGTAGACATAGGCAATCCCATCTTGTGTGGATCTTTTTTAAAATTACAAAAATATTGACACAGTATTTTGGGAGTGATATATTGCCGGGTCCAGCTACTGTACCACCAAATCCCTGTCTCTAATATTAACCACAATTCTTCATACAATAAAGCACGGATTTTCTTTAAATTCACAGACTGTCTTTGAGACAAGTGGAATTAAGACCATGTTGATTCTCAAAAGCTCAAGGATTTGCTTAAATTTATGTAATCACAGAAATGAACCAAGTCCAATTCATTTTAATTAAAGTTTCTGGAAACTCCCTTATAGTTGTGGGTGATACGATGAAAGCAATATCTCAAAGTTGTGGGAGCATCAATGATAAATCAAAACGCAGGGAAATGTTTACATTTTTAAAGAACAAACAAGCCATTGTTTTCTGTCATTCTCTTCACAGGTGAAATGGAACAAGGAGTTTGAGAAGATTTGGGGAAATAAGCACTGCTTATTCAGTTCGTTCAGAGGTAACTGAAGAGGTGTTGCAATAATATTTTCTAAAACATTCACTGTACCATCATATGATAGATCGCAATCAAACGGTAACCTACTTACTCTAGAACTGACTATAAACGAATATAAACTTGCACAGGATATGGCCCAAATTCTAAAGCTCCATCCCTTGATAGTGATCACATAGTTCTATGCGGTGATTGGAATGTCATACCAAAATAATCCTAAATAAAGAGAACAAATCCTAAAAATGAAAGAGGATTTTGACCTCATTAATCCCAGAGAGAAAGTAAACCATTGTTAAAATGATACATATGACGACGACCAAACGCCCTTTAAGAAGCAGGTCGTGATTATTTTTATTCTTTCTCACAACTACAACTTTTGTCAGAGACAATATTGAACCGACCTTTAATTTCAATTCCTTTATATTATTACTTTTAAACTATCTGACTTACAGCATAGTAAATATTTTTCGAAATTTAACAATTTGGTTTTAAGAGATTGTGATCATGTAAATCTCGTAAAAAGTGTTAAAACAACAGATCAATATTAAACCAATGATCAAGAATGTATTGGCGATTTTACTGCCGATGTGACGGTAAATATTAACTCACTCACTCACTCACTCACTCACTCACTATTATTAGCGAGCCACTTCTTTAGGAAACTATCATTTTAATTAATAGGTGAAAATCATTCTACAGTCATCAGGCAAAAAGAAAGAACGTGAAAAAAACGAAAAAATATACAAGAAAACCCTAATAAATTAGCCATTAAGTTAGATAAGGACATCGAGAAGAAACCAAAAAGACATGTTAACGGAAAGTGATATTATAAATACAGAGTTGGAGGACATTTACAACATAAAACCTCAAGGTTTACGGGTATGCCCCAAACAAACATACTTCCATCCCTAAGGGTGAAAAAACAAAGGCCGTCCTTAAAAATGATGTCCCATATCATTTCTTTCAATACTGTATAAACTTGGATAAATGGCAATCTCACATATAAATAAAACACTGCTTAATATACAAATAAGTGAGGACCAAACGGCTTTATATCTGGGAGATATATTGGCGAAATTTCAAGACAAACATATGATCTATTTGAATTCACTGACAGATATCAAATTCCAGGACTATTCTTGCTTGTGGACTTTGAAATAGCCTGTGACACTGTCGATTGGCTATTTATTCAAGAAGCATTAGACTTTTTAGATTCAATTTAAAGTTGGATCAAACTTTTTACAATGGTAAACAATCGTGAGTATTGGTAAATGGATATTGTACATATATATTTGTTTAAATATTTACATGATGTCGCCAGGGAGATCCCCTGTCTCAATACATATTTATTCATTGTAAAGAAATAAGGTCAATATTGATATTGATATTATCCACATATCCAGTATTTGGAATCGATCCTCAAGATCTGATCGAAGCCAACTATAAAAGTAAGCTTTAGGGGCGTGTAAGATCAATGGCAATATGGTCAATCTGAAATCTAACACCCCTTTGAAAAAATACAATGTTAAAATCATTTGTTTTCAGCAATATATGACCCACCTGACCCACAAACGACGTTTCAAGTTCATGAAATAGAAAAAGTTTAATTATATGTGAAAATAAAGATAAGGGGGAATAAAATGCCAACAAATAAAAGAAATAATGCAACCTTAAAAGGTATCGATGGCATGGAGAGCATTTGGACAGTTTTCAAAATGGTGGCTATTCTTTCGCAGGAGACTGGTATAATGATAACATTAAAATAGAAAATGAATGTATTTGGTATAAGGATTGGAACGAAAAAGGGGTAACTATATCAATGATCTTATTGATGAAATTGGACATTTTTCTTTGTATTGAAAATTTTGTCATCCTCGTATTCACTCACCTGCAGTGCAGAGGTCACCACGAACCTGAACTTCACAGATCGTCAGGTGACCATTGAAGATTGGCAACCGTTGGATCTTGACGAATCTAGCCACTACTGGCTCATCACAGGGCAGGGTATCCATGGCCCCTAGGGCTCCCCTCTTCTCTGTACAGATTATGGGGGCAATCCAGGGATAGTGCCGGGGGTCTTCCCTGAACGCTACGATCGCCAAGTCTCTGAAACGATGGACTAAAACGCAAGTTAATTATTTCAAAAGTTCACAGGGAATTTTGGAATATAATGGTTGCAGTTTGCTTTCGGGTATCAATAGCGTCCAAATGAAGAGACAACCTTACCCTATCTTTGTTTGTTATAGTCACAACCATCCTTGTGATGCTGTTTAAATATGCTTCATTTGGAATTAACATATCAAATTTGACTTTAAAGTGTTTCAAAAAACAGAGGTAAGTAATTAATAGACATTTGAATTTTTACACTGTCCATCGCTTCTTCGCTGTATGGTGACAGTCCTGATCTTGTACATGTCCAGGAGGTCCACCATCCACCACATCGGTGACCAGTTGCTTGTAAAACAGCTACCACTGAGCCGGTTAGCATCAAGGTTGCCGTCGACGGCATTAGACGACAAGGAAAGCTTGTCGAAGTTGTCGCTGCTGTATGTTGGCTTGTTCAGAGCAATACTCGTAATCTGTGAAACTGTGGGTAAATAGTTAAATGTTATAATGCCTATTGTGTTAGTTGGGGAAAACTGTATCATGATGAACCAAAGATGTGTGCGCCTCTCTATGTACTTCTATATGTAATTTGTCATTGTTGTTCAACTCATATTGCCCTGTGCTTACGTTGCAGTTTTAAAAGCGTATATATTTGCCAAAAAATGTTCAGAATGTTCTCATCAAGTG